CACCTATGTAATCCCAGCTACTTGGGGGGCAGAGATTAGAATTGTGATTTGAGGCCAGCACAGGCAAACACTTAGCCATACCCCATATCTCAACAAACAAGCTGGGCAAGGTGGCATGTGCTTGTGATCCCAGCTTTATCAGCAGGCCATAGGTAGGAGGACTGTGGTTCCAGGCTAGTTTGAACAAAAAAAAAGGCAAGACTCTATCTGAAAATAGCTGAAGCAAAAAGGGTTAGGGATGTAGTTGAAGAGTCAGAGCACCCACCTAGCTAGGGTGATGCCCTGAGTTCAATCCTAATATGGTAACAAAAGTAAAAGGAAGGAACTGCTTTCTTTGTCATCATTAGCCACTGGCCAGAATTCTTCTCTTGCTGGTGCTTCTCGCTATCAATGACAACTTTAAAAAGAAAAAAGACCCTTATTATTACTGTTGAGAATATGTTTCAGCCTTGATTATTCAGGATATGCTCTTAGGGATATTATCAACTGTGTGCACATGTGCACGTGTGCAGAGAGTGTGTGTGTGTGTGTGTGTGTGTGTGTGTGTATAAGTAATATGCGCTCAGATATCCTCTTTGTTTTTTTCCCTCACTGTTTTCATTTGCAGTATCATAGGTTAATTTCCTAACTTTTACAACATATCTAACATACCCACTGTACACTATAAAAGACTATCAACATATTAAGTTACTAGTACTCTTGTTGGTTAGAATTAGGTCCAGGGCAGTTTTTCTTCTTGTAGCTTCTCTTACCTTCTGGGAAATAAAATATTAGCAAGCCAAGTAAAGAATCCAGTGAAATCACTGCCCACTTCTAGCCGGTGTCTGGAATAGTTTTGTGAATGGTGTGGAGAATATAGCATCCATTCTTCCACATGGCTGCAAAATGCACTACTGCACCTCTTCTATACTATCATATCTTGCCTCCACTTTCCCTTCATCTTCCTGTCTCAAGCTGTCCTCACCCACAGGTTAACAAGTTCTGTTAACCTGCTATCTTACTTTTCCTATGAATGAATTTATAGTTTTTACATGGGATGGAAGAGATAGTGATCTGAAGTACTCATGGACATCTACCTCTGGAGGCTCAGTTGGCACTAAGGAGAGTGTCTGGAATGTTGAAAAGAAGGGTCTGTGCTAGAGATAAACTTATATTCAGAGCAGAATTACAAAATAACGAATTATAGTTGAAATGGCCATATTTTCCTTCCTCTTTTGTTTCTCACTGTTGCCAATCAGATCAGTGCAGACCTTGCCCTATACTGGTAGAGAAAGAGGAATGGAGAAAAATCCAAGCAGATGGCAGCCAGGAGGGAAGGAAGTTTTTGTGCTAAATGACCAAACAAAGGTATTTTCATGTGTAGGTCAAAGACATGTGACTGATGTCAAGGAGTAACTCTGAATGAACAAAATCAGAAACAGGCTGGCTCTGAGCAGCACAGGGCAGCTCTGCTGGAAAGCTTCATTCATTCTATAGAATGCCTATAATCTATGTGTTTAATAAGTAATACCCTGATTTTAGAAGGAATAAAACCAATGGTTTATTTACAATTAAGTTTGTTGCTGACAAAAATATGTTGTGAAAACTAGAGATAAAGGCAAAATAGTTTCTGCCTGGTAGCGAGGGGTTGGGGGGGGTAACAGAGGGAGCAGGGGGGAAGGGGGGGAGAAATGACCCAAACATTGTATGCACATATGAATATTATAAAAAAAGAAAATAAACTTAAAAAATATATTGTGAGATGTTAGCAAATTACTGACAGACTATATAGTACTTTAAGTTAATCCACAGTTTAATATGCAAACATCGAAAGGAATCAAAGTCTTCATTCTTACCACAAAAATGGGGAAACTTACATGCATCAATAATGAAAAGCTTTGTAAAAGGAACTTTACTTAGAATAATCTTAACCCTAGTGAACAAATAAATTTAAGTATGTTCCTCTTGAAATAGGCTTAATGATTCTCTGATATTTTGGATAAATAATTTTTAGTGGGTCACAATAATGTATGAGTTCTTCTGCTTTAAAGTTGACTAAAATTAAAGAAAAGGTGCCTGTCTCTGAAAGGTATCTGACTGAACATCGTGGCAAATGTTTTAGAATTTTCTTCTGAGTTTGTAACTACTGCAGTAAAATTCTGATGTCATTGAAACAACTTTGGCGAAAATTTTAACTGAATTTGTATGTTCTACCCATTTATATTCAAACTTCTTAACTTTACCCTCCTCCATCTATCTTCCACAGTGACTACCCAAATTCCTCCAAATTCTCATCTCCGTATGACTCAGCCCATGCTTTTCTAGTTGCTCTCTCTCTACCTTCAACTCTGAAGCTCTTAAACATTTCTGACTCTTATTCCTAGCCTCTGGGGGCCTTTTTGCCTTAGCTGAAAATTTCTTCTCTCTGAGGCAATTACCCTCAGAATTATGTTCTTCTTCTTCTAAATTGCAATGCTAGGAATGGAACGCAGGCCTCATGCATGATAGGCTAGATCTCTACCATGAGCTACAACTCTAGCCCTTGAGTGATTACGTTCTTTCCTCTCTGGTATCTTTTCCTGAATCTCCTTTACTCTGTCCTTCATCTGACTGTACATTAATTGATATTCCTCAGAGACCTGACTGGGCCCCTTTTCTCTTCCTCTCCTACATTCTTTCTCCTTAATCTGATTTAAATGCCATTACATTAAAAAAATCTGAAATGAGTGATTCTAATATACTATTTTTTAAGCTTCATTTGTCTAAGTCTATGCCATACAACTAACTCTAGAAAGAAATCTTAACCATACCTAAAATTTTATAATAATAATTCATTATTTTCTTTATGATCTAACCCTTTTCCACTACAAAAAAAAAAAAAATCTGGTTCCCCATCCTTCATTTCTACTTACTATCAGAACCATCTATAGGTACCTAGGTTAGAACCCACAAGCCATCTTTGTCTCTTCCTTCTGGCCATCCCTCCTAACAAACCAGCCCAAGTCCTCTGAACTTTATCTTACCCTTGTATTTTCAGTTCATCGCTTTCCTTTATTCCTACAAACAGTATGTAGGGTTAGACTAGTGTTTTCCCTTGTGTGAATTTATGTGTTCCCCTTCCCCCTTCAGGAAAATAAAAATGGGTGGGGGGGAACAAGACACAAGCAACACTGTTACTGCCTTTGCCAATTTCAAGCCACTTTATTAGTCTAGAAAAATGAAAATTTATCAAAATGTGCTCAGAAATAAAAGCAATGAACTTGCTAAATACTAAATGTTTTACATTTATCATTTAATGTAAATACAGATGTAGATTACCAAACCTTATGAAATCTATGATCTCTATATCATCTTGAAAGTACATGCATTAAATCCTATTGCCAGGCTCTATTCCATTTTAAGATTTCTGAAGGCAGGAGTATTTTTAGATAAAAAAAATTGGTAAAAGAAAGTTCCCACAGAAACATCAAACTCTTCCATCTCTTATGAAAGCAAAGATGTCTGCAGGCAGGAATCATTTGAGAATTTAACTCAGGATTTGGAGTCTAAAATGATTCAGTATTACAGTAGTTATAATGGTGGTGTATGTCTGTTATCCCAGTTGTGTGGGAGGAATAAATAGAAGGATTGTGGTCCAAGGCTGGCCCCAGACAAAATAGTAGGACCCCATTTGAAAAATAACTAAAATGAAAAAGGGATCTGAGTGTGACTCAAGTGGTGAGAGTGCCTACCTAACAAGACACAATATCCTGAATTCAAACCCCAGTACTGTCAAAAAAAACCCAAAACAAAACCCACCCCAAAAACCCAGACAAACTCTACAAAGATGAGGTATTACTGTTAGAATGCCTATTTTGAAGATGGAGAAGTTATACAAAAATTAAAAATTAAGTATTACAGGGGACTGGAATCAAGCAATTTGTCTTGAGAGCCTGTATACAAACTGCAAAAGATAATTCGTACTGCATGGTTTTTGGAAAAAAATTGGGGACATAGATGATTAAATCTGTATTGATTTTTCTTAAATATTCTAACAAGCCTAAAAAAGTATTTTTCTAGGGGATAAAAAACAATTTCAAAAATTTCCATGGCACATTTTATGAATGAATAATCTTTATCTCTTTAGTTCAAAGTATCTTCTACCAGCTGATTTAGTGTGTGTGTGTACACATATCCATACCCACACATCTTCCCTGAGATTCCTGATAAGGGAATTTTATCAAAGGAATTGATTTTACTTTCCAAACACTTGCAGTGATTTTCCATGACTCTCTGCTAATGAGGGGTAACAGTTTCCAGTAAGCAGCCCAAAGTTAGCAGGTGTTTGGTAGAGCAGGTGCTGACTAAATATGGATTAACTAAAGACCAGGGAAGTCAAGACAAGCAGCCAGTGGCTACATTGTGAGCCCAGAAGGGAGAACTGCAGACAGCATGGCTGTGGAGCTCCATCATCTGTTTCAAACTCTGGTTCTGCCATGTGCTAGGTGAGAACCCTAGGGAAGTTCCTTAATCTCTCCTTGCATTTGTGTCTTCACCCTTAGTGAGGGTGCTGATCAACCTACTGCCCAGGGTTTTATGACAATAAACAAGGTCATATCCATGTTGGCAATTAACAAATGTTAGTACTTCTATGAAACAGAATTCCTTTTGGTAGCTTCTCTCATTCCACTGAATAAACCTTCCAATCCCACCCTTGTTAGTGCTGTCTGTGTGGTACATTGGCAATATTGCCATCAGGGAACTGTATGAGTCTATTACACAAACAAGGCAATAAAAGTAAGTAAGTTGAAGGAAACTTCTAAGTGTCTAAAACTCTGTAATTATGACAATAATCAGATATAATTAATGAGCTTTATAAAAACTGGTATTTTTCCAAGAATTATTTTCTAACTAACTCCCCACCCATGAAACTATCCATTTTCCATTTGATTTTAAAAGAACACAGAATGTTAAAGCTTAGGGGATTTATATGCTAGCACTCTAAAACATACCTAACAGAACACCAGAATCATGATACTTACTTCATCTCTATAGAGTGGGCTAGTATAATACATTATGTCCATTGCACTGCTGTTCAGCATGTCCCTTAAACCTCGTACTTTGTCCGGAGTAATGGAATCAACAGTGTCTACAAAAATCAGACAACAATGAAATTAAACTTTCAGAAGATCTCTGTTCTAGGGAAAAATAAACTGAGAACAAAAATTACACTTCCTGAACTAAATTAACATTCAAATACTCAAGACCAGCTTTGGCTTTAACAGACCTTCCCTTCTTGCAAAATGTTGCTAGAAAAAAAACAGTAAAAGACAAAAGGAGATATTAAAAGAAAACAGACTTAAAGGACAGAGGCCATTCTCTTCATCTCTGCAAGGTGGACCTGGTAATACTCATGTGGAATGCCTGGTGCTGCTAAAATCTACTTGGTATTACAAGTAAAAAGTTTCCCCATGCTTTACACGATTTATCTTTGATGAACCAAGGCTTCTATAAAGCAAGAACTGCCAAATCACAAATATGCACAAAGGCAAGTAAATGAACAACAAATACAAGATAAGGCTGGTGTAACTATGTTGAAGAACCCTATCACCTATTAAATTATTAAAGATGCAAAAAACTGCATTTCTTACATAAACACCAAGAAAGTTTATGTGCTTGGATGAGTATTACTTGAAAGCACAAGGTAAGCGGAAGAAGGCTTATGATTTTAGCCAAGGACACTTTCATTTTTCCTCCAGTGTTTCACTGTATTGGCTTAGGTTATTTTATTCCTCACTTTATTTATTTATTTATTTATTTTCAGGTGCATGACTGTATGATTTTATTTCTATTTACTTTTCAATAGTCCATCTGTTTTATATTTAAATTTTCATTGGGGATAAAATATAAAACACAAAAAGCTCACAATTTTGATCATATTAAGTATAAACTTGAGTCATACATTAATGATATAATGAAAGTAAAAAAATACATCTCCAGAATTCCATGTTTTTTCAAAATAAAATTTAGCATATTAAAAAATTATCTTTTATTCACCCCACTCAACCCTTACAAGCATCAATATATAATGTGAACCATAAAATTTTAAATCCTTAAATTACAAAACTTATGTGAACAAAAGAAGTAGAATTGATATGTCTAGTGGTTAGGATCACTGGTTCTCCAAAACATGTGTCCTGAGGTTACTCTGTTCCTTAGTTGCCTCTCAATTATTCCTCACTTTAATACAATGTGAAAAGGACTGGAAAGCAATGTCTAGGAGTCTTTTCAAAGATGTAAAGGGAGATATTGAGGCTGTCCATAGGTCATACAACATATTTATAGATGATGCACATTTTTTTCTTTTTAAATATTTTTGTGATGGGGTCTTGCCATGTAGCCCAGCCTAACTTCAAACTCTTGATCCTCCTGCTTCAGCCTCCTGAGTACTGTAATTGTAGGTGTGTACCACTATTCCCAGCTTTGGTGCCTATTAAATGGCAAAAGTAGAAGGTGTAGCTATGATGCTGATATGAAAATAGTTTGAATATCATTTTAATGCATTTCCAAAAAGGTTTTATTATGAAACACATACACATATAAAAGAAAATATTTAATATGTTTGGGCAACTGAAATAATAATTTATAAAAAAGGAAAACACCTGCAAAGTTTTCTGAATTATTTTTGAAGCCCACAATATATGTCTAAATGACCTGAGCAACTGAACACAGGGCCTCACATATGCTAGGCAAGCACTTCCTAACACAGCTCCATCTCAGCTCCAAACTTCTCTCTCTGTATTAAGATACAATCACCAAGAAGAGGTTTGTTAACTGTGCTTTTCCTTTTCTTTATGCATTTACTAATGTTCAGAAGTGCTAATAATTGTAGACAATTACTTATACAGCATTTAGTAAATGTCAGTGGCTAAATATTTTATTTGGACTGATTCTAAACATTGTATAAATTGATGTATCATCTACAGTTAGCTTCTTTCCCTCTGCTATGCTTCTTAGATTCATTCATGTTGATGCACATAGCTGTAATCCACTAATTTTTATTGCTGCATATATTCTACTCTCTATATATACACAATTTATTCACTCTTTTGAGAGACACTTGGATTTCTAGCTTTTTTTTCTATTATAAACTACAATCCTAATAATATAATTTCACATATGTCCTGGTGCACGAGCCTAAGAGTTTCTTTAGGGTATATATTTAGAAGTGAAACGGCTATGCCATTCAACTTTATAAGATAATGTCAAGTCATCTTTCAAAGTGATTTTATCAATTTAAATTCCCACCAGTAATGAATAAGAACCTTCACTGCTTGGATTGCAGAGGTCCTCAACCTGAAAGGGCTGAGGGCAGGAATGAACAAGACAGGACACACAAAGCAACTCACTCAGGAAGGGAATGACTAAAACACGTATTGAGAGGGCCAGAAGGCTGATGACCAACTGGCAAAATTTTATTTTTCTCAGCAAGCTTTATACAAAAGAGGAAGAAACTTAAACATCAAAAACACTCTGACCTAGTTACAACCTTTCTGTGTTTTCCACCCTGCATTTTACTGCCAGTGTGTCCTTGACTATGTATAAACTTCTTTTTAGTCAAGGGAAACCATTTAGCGTTCCTTCCCACTGTGATAGAGGCATGGTGCACCTGCAGATTCTGACCTTGTTGAATGCTGCTAAGCCACAGTGACCTTGTCAGACTGTGGTTTTGGTTTCCAACACTGCATTGCTGTACATCCTCTATAACACTTGGCATTGCCACTTTCTTAAATTTCTGCCTAACTGTTGGGTGTGAATGATATCTCACTTTTTTTTTTTTGATGGTATTGAGATTGACCCCAGGACCTGATGCATGCAAGGAAAAAAAAAGGAATTCTTTCCCTACTCTGAGATCATAAAGGTATTCATTCTCTTAGTCTTCAGCTTTCATATATTATGCTTTGATCCATCTGGTCTGTAAAGCAGGGATTGTTTTCTCCTTTTCTCTCCCACTGGACAACTGGTTACTAAGCACATTTATAAAATGGGACATGCTTTCATTGAGGAGCCCTAATGCCAGCTCTGACATGCATCAGGTTCCCATATTAGCACAGGGCTGTTCAGGGAGTCTACTTTGGTACACTGGTCTATTTGCTTATCATTGGATCAGGACTAAACTGTCTTAATTATAAAAGTTAAAGAACAGGTCCAGTCATCTAGTAGGACAGAACTTCCCACCTCCTCCCTTGTGTATGCTTGGCTTATTTTGGGCCCTCTGTTCTTCTATAGTCATTTTTGAGTCAGCTTGTCAAGTTTCATGAAAAACTCTATTGGGATTTTAATTAACTTAACCTGGACTCTGTGGAACAATTTGGGAAAATCAACATCTCTAGAATACTTCATCATTCAATCTAAGAAAATTATCTTTGTATTTAATATCTTTTAATGGCTCCTTTACTTTTAAACATGGAAATACATCTTTTGTTTGTTAGTTCTTGGAACCTTAACATTTTTAGTGTTACTTCTGTGTGTTGCTGGTATATAAAAATGCAATTACTTTTATATATATATATATATAAATCTTCTATTTTATAATCTTGGTAAACTATCTTTTAATTCTAATGCTTTTTCTGTATATTCTTTTGTATTTTCTAAGTAGACAATCACATTACCTGTAAATCAAAACACGTTTTTGATCCTTTATAATATTATTATTTTCTTTTATTACTGTACTGCTAAGACTGCAAGTAGAATGTCTAAGTTATAACTGTGGACATCTTCAGTTTGCTCCCGATTTGTGGGAAATGGTTTTAGCCTTTCACTACCAATGAGGAGGTTAATGTTTCTATGGTGTACTTTTATTATTACTTTTACACTTAATTTTTTATTAGGATATAGTCAATGTACAGAGGGGATTCATTGTGACAATTCCAAATAGGCTTATATTGTATCTGGGTTAGATTACCCCCGCCGTCTCTCCCTCTTTACCCCCTTCCCTGCCCCACTTAAAGCAACTGCAAAAAGTTTGTTCTATTTCATATAAGTATATGAAGTCCATCTACCAAATACCCTCATCTTAATCTTCTTCATTCACCCTCTGCCCTTCCACAAATTAGCCCTAATTCCCCAAACATTTAAGTCAATGTTCCAAGGGGTTTCCCAATGTGTCCCCACTGTGGGTCTACTTTACTTTGGTCCATTCAACCCCTTTACACAAAGTAAAACTGACTGTGAGTTTTAATGTATGTACCATAACCACCACCACAATCCGGATACAGAACAGTTTTACCTCCCTAAAAAACTTCCACGTGCTGCCTCTTTTGAACTCAAGTTCTCCTACCTTCCAAAAGCCCTGGCAGCCCCTGATCTGTTCTCTGTCCCTGCAGTTTTGCCTTTTCCTAATGTAATGTAAATGGAAGCACAAATTATACAATCTTTCAAGATTGGCTTCTTTCTCTCATCTTAATGCTTTTAAAAGTAGCACAGAGGGCCAGGAATGGGGGAGCACACCTGTAGTCCCAGCATTCAGAAGGATTGTGATGCCAGCTTGGCCTACATGGTGATACCCTGCTTCAACAAATAAAGAAAAACTGCTATATGAATAGAATGCAGAAATTTTAGTAAATGTTAATTCAACTTTGTTGGCTATATTCCTGGGCACCCTAAGAAATATATCTGGGTGAACAAGAAAAAGCCAAATAATAATGTTTTTCTACAGAACTTTACACATAGACTGTTATTTTGCTGAGAGCTTTTCTTTGGTTACCAGCATTTATTTATTTTAAAAGCTCATTATAACTTGTGATACCATTTTGGCTTGGCAAGCTGTAACTGGACATGACTTAACTTTGAGACAGTACTGTTGACCTGGATGGCAGTTCAGCACTGTGTCAGCATTGTTGTCAGCATCATACAGACTTAGGTCCTGGACAACATTTTGTTCCTTCCACGTGTCAGTTCCACCTCCAAGCCACAGAGGACATGCATGGAAATAGTGTTATCTGTGACATATTTATGGTGGTCCAAATGACATTAAGTAAATGTAATTATTTTAAAAACCAGCGATTTTATTTTTTCAAATAATCTAGAATGAGTGAGTATAACCCTACCCTAAGACAAGTAAACTTTTTCTTAATGAGCAAAAAGTCTAAGATTTACTACATTTACCTTGGTAAAGTTTGTCACTGGCTTAAATCATTCAATTAAAAAAATATATACCTCCATCGAGAGTAAGTTTTGACCGCCATTCAACAGGCAGAAATTCAACATGTGTTGCATGATTGGAAAAATGCCTTTCTTCTATTTTTCTTGCAGCCTCTCTCATCCTAAAAAGTAACATAAATAAATAAATAAAATCAAACCCAAACTTTGAGAGCAACTTCACATTTATATTTATTTGGCATAAAACATTTTTAATCATAACATTTTGATTTTCTTATAGCTTTGTCCAATTATATTTCAAATACTGCTACACTAAGCAAGTTTGCAAAATCAGAACACCTTCGTTTCAGTTATTTTCCTAAATTTGCCATCTATAGCTTCAATGTTTCAAGTTGTTAAATTATATTCTAAATAATTATAGATTTATATGATTTTTAGTAGACAGTATAATGAATACACATGTGACATCACCCAGTTCCAAATATTTGCAAGTCATGGTCTATCTTATTCCTTCCTTCTCTACTCAGTCTCCCTATGATACAGACTTTTAAATTTCATTTTCAAAATCAAGATTATCAACAAATTTGTTTTTTTTTCCTGTTTGTATCAGTGACATAAATTTTACACATGTGTAGATTTGTGGTTAGCCCAAAGTTCATTCCAAAAAACTCCCTTGTACTACTCTTAAGTCAAATCTCACACATCACATGATATTATCTGTAAATAGTATATTTTTCTAAAATATAATCTAGCCAGAATTATAGCATCAAAAATTAGTAAAATTTAAATTTAGCAAATATGTAACACAAGGCCAGATTTTCCCAGTTGATTTAAATGTTTTTTCCATTAAAAAAGGTCTTTGTACTCGTTGAGTTCCAAATATAGTCTATGCACTGCAATGCATAGAGACTGGTATGGTCTCGAATGTCTCAACCTATTGGTTTCTCTCTTTCTGTTTTCATACTCTTTGTCCTGTATTTCCTGAAAATTAGTAGCGAGATACAGAGGCCTGGTGAGATTCAAGGTCTGTTTTGGTAAGAACCCATCATAAGTTCAGACACCTGTTTTTTTCTCTTTATTTTATCAGTTACTGATGATTACTGCTTAGGTCCATTAGTTTATCATGGCTGCAAAAAGAACCTTTAAAATTCTATACACTCCATTTGTTTAAAAGCTTATACAATTTCTAGAAATTTACTCACATCAAATATTTGGCTGCCTTGGAGTACAACCAAATAGTTTCTATATGAACAGAAGTATAGTTTATCTAAAAAAGGTGGGATAAATGTTTAACTCTTGCCTTTCAATAACAGTTTTCAAAATATAATTAGGTTTTATACATTTTGATGTTGTTTTAGTCCATTTTTCATTACTGTAATGAAATTCCGGAGGCAGCCTGCTTTAAAAGGATAGAGGGTTGTTTGGCTCATGTTTCTCATTGTGCAAGGTAGAGGGGCTTTATCTGGTGATGGTCTTCTTGCTGGCACAGAACTGAGGCAGTGGTGAGAATCACATTGCAGAAGAGGGAGTGCAAGTGCCTCTGTATGCCTGATCTCTCCCTTTTCTTATAAAGCCACAAGGATTCAAGCATGGGTCTTTCCCTACTTACCTTATCTATTCTAATCATTTCCCAAAGGCCCCACTTCTAAACACCATATTGGACTAAGTTTCTACTCACATTAATACCTTGGGGATTAAATTTCGACACATGGAGCCTTTATGGGTGTCACTCAAGCCATATTTAAACCATAGTAGGTATCATTATTAACTCATAGAATTAAACATTTGAAGTGCTTCAATCCACTGTAATTACCCTTAATGCTCAATTCTTTCCCAATTTGGTCTGTTTCTTCAAGCTGGCTTTTGATACAACCTCACCAGTTTTTCTTTCTTTCTTTTTTTAAATTTAAGCAACTCAGTGACTTTTTAGCATATTCACAGAGGTGTGCAACCATCATCACTATTTAGTTTCAGAATACTTTCTTCACTTCAAATAGAAATGCCATACTCATTAGCAGTTACTCCCCCATCCCTTCTCCCTATTGCCTCTGGCAACCATTAAGCTAATTTCTGTCCCTGCAGATTTGCCTATTCTGGACATTTCATACATTATGTGGCCTTTTGTGTCTGGCCTTTCATTTAGCATGCTTTCAAGGTTCATCAATGTTGTATCATGAATAAGTGCTCCATTGCTTTTTTTATCGTTGAATATTTCATTGTAAGGATATGCCACTTTTATCTTTTCATTAGATGATGGACATTTGAGTTGTTTGCATTTCTTGGCTATTATGAGTAAGGCTGCTGTGAATATTCTTTAGCAAGCTTCTGTGTGAATATATGTTTTCAGTTTTACCCCAGGAGTGGTACTGCTGGCTCATACGTTAGCTCTGTTTTATTCTTTGAGGAACCACCAATCTATTTTCTAAAGCAGTTATTACTACTTTACAATTCCATCAGTCACATGAGGGTTCCAGTTTTCCCACATCCTTGCTAACACTTGGTATTTTCCATTTTTTGATAACAATCATCCTAGTGAGTGTGAAGTGGGTATCTTTGTCATTCTGAATTGCTAATGATGAATATCTTTTCATATGCTTACTGGTCATTTGTGTAACATATCCAGACAAATGAACTATAAGAGCACTTTACATGTAGTGAATACTAGACCCTTAGTTGATATATGATTTACACATATTTTCTTCCAATCTGACGGTTATCTTCATTTACAAAAGTTTTGAAAAAATTACACTTATTGCTGGGTGTGGTGGTTCAGGCATGTAAACCTAGCCAGTAGGGAGACAGAGATCAGGAGAATTGTGGTTTGAGGCCAGCCCAGACAAAAAGTTCAAGAGACCAATAAAAACTGGGTATGGTGGTATGCATCTGTCATCTACCTAGTTGGGTAGCAAAAATAGGAAGACTGTGGTCCAGGTCAGCCTGAACATAATTGTGAGACCTTATATCCAAAATAACCAAAGTAAAAGGGACTGGAGGTGTGTTTCAAATGGTAGAGGACCTGCCTAGTAAGTTCAAGGCACTGAATCCAAACTCCAGTACCACCAAACAAACAACTGAATATCTCTTTTTTCTTTTGTGACTTCTATTTTTGGTGTCATACCTCAGAAATCATTGCCTAATCAAAGGACAAACAGATTTTACTTTTTTTTTTTAAAGGACTTTACAGATTTAGCTCTTACACTTAGGTCCTTAATTCAGTTTGTTAATTAATTAATTAATTAATGAATAATGGCACTACAGAGGTTTAAACTCAAGGCTTTGGTACTGCTTGAGCCACGTCACCGGCCCTTTTAATTCATTTTAAGTTAATTTTTATAGGTGTCCAGCTTCATTCTTCTGCATGTGGCTATTCCATTGTCCCAGCTCTATTTGTTAAAGACTATTCTTTCATCCATTGAGTTGTACTGGCATTGGGAAAAATCAATTTGACCTCTCAATTCAATTCCATTGATTTGTATCGATCTTTATGTTGGGCTGTAGCTCAAGGTCTTGATTAGTGTAGAACTGTGGTAAACTGCGTAACTGGGATGTGTGAGCCTCCCACCTTTGTTCTTTTTCAAGTCAGTTTTTGGCTGTTCTGGATCCTGTGAATTTCCATGTAAATCAGCCTGTCATTTGTTACTAAAAAGACAGACGGGATTTTAACAGGAATTGCACTAAATGTGTAGATCAGTTTGGAAGTACTGCCATCTTAAGTTTTCCAATTCATGAACTCAGATGTCTTTTCCATTTATTTAGGTCCTTAGTTTCTCTCAATGGTATACTGTAGTTTTCAGCATACGAATCTTGCATGACTGTTTGTAAACTTATTCCTAAGGATTTTATCCTTTGTGATACTACATGTAGTAAATGGAATTCCTTCCTGAATTTCTTGCATCCCAAAGCCCAGCTGGGTTACTAGTCTTCACGTTCCTTGCGTATATGGGAATGTGTGTATTCCTGAGGATTTTCTATACATGAGATAATGTTCCTTGCTTATAGATAAAGTTTTACTTCTTTCTTTCTAATTTGAATGCCTTTCACTTCTTTTTCTTGCATAATTGCCTTGGTTCAAACATACAGTATAATGTTGACTAGAAGTGGTGGGAGAGGACATCCCTGTATTGTTCCTGATCTTGGGGAAAAGCTTTTGATATTTCAGTATAATTTTAGCTGAGGGCTGTTTGTAAATGCTCTTTACCAGACTGAGAAAGTTCTTTTCAGTTTCTAGCTTCCTGCATGTTTTTATTATGAAAGGGTGCTGGACTTTTGTTCAATGCTTTTTCTTCATCAAAACCCACATTACATGTTTTTTTCCCTTAACCTATTAATTAATATAGCCTATTTTAGTAAGGTAAATTTGGGGGACATAGCTACAACATATGTACCTTTGTCTTCCACTCTCACTGTCCCCATCCTCCTTTCCTATCTTCTTCCATCTTTCTTTCTTGGAACAGGGTCTTGCTACGTAGCCTAGGCTGGCCTTGAGCTTGCCATATAGCCCAAGCTAGCCAATCCTCCTGCCTCAGCATCCTGAGTTACAGGGATTGCAGGTGTGCACCCCCATGCTGGGCTCTCTTTTGAGTTGCTCCAGTTAACCTTTCATTCCTGGGATAAATCCCACTCAATCATGGCATTTAGCCATATTTATGTGTTGCTGGACTCAGTTTTGTGTTTTGTTGACTATTTTTGTATTTTGCATTCATAATGGATATTGCTCTTTTTTTCCCCCTTGTTAATACTTTCAACTGCTTCCGGTATCAGGGTAATACTGGCCTCACAAGATGAATTGGAAAATCTTCCTTTCCCTTCTATATTTTGGGGAGTTGATGAAGAATTGGTGCTAATTTTTCTATTAATGACTGAGAGATTTTTTTTTTCAGTGAAGTCATTTGCTTCTGGGCTTTTAAAATTTTGCTCAAAGTTTTATGATTATTTATTCAGATGCTTTACTTTTTTATAGATCTATTCAGATTTTCTATTTCTTCTTACTCATTATACTGAATCAGTTTTGATAGTCTTTAATTTCTAAGAATTTGTCTATTCAGGTAATCTAGTATGTTATCATAGAACAAAGCATAGTATCATCTTATAATCCTTTTTACTTCTATAAGGCTGGTAGTTGCTACTAATGTCTCTTTATTCTTGATTTTAATAATTTGAGACTTACATACTTCTATTTTCTGGTCAGTTCAGCTAAAGCTTTCTCAATCTTGTAGACATTTTCAGAAAACCATAGTAATACACAGAAATCTTCCTCATTTTGTTTTACAACTGATAGTTCTCTTCGTATAGATAAGGGTAATATTTATATAATATACGTATTACATAAAAAAAATGGTAACATTTGTTTCTTAATATATTGGTCATGACTATATGAGAAACACTGAGACCAAGGAGGAATGGAGAAAGTAAGAGAGGAATAATTTAAAAATACTATACTAAAGCTCAGACTACAACCAATTACGGTACTGTGGATGAAAAAAATGATTTCAGTCCTATAAGTTTACTCAGCTTCCACATTCTCTTGCTAGGCAATGAAAATACTTACTTCATATTCTGAAAAGGGAAGGAAGAGATTAATAACACCAGAACTTACTGTCCAATTAAGGATCATTAAATAGCTCTGAAAAAAGTAAATCTTCATAGATTCTCTCAATTAGAAAAAAAATCAACTCATAAACTTCAGAGTAGCACTGATAAAATGAATTTAATTTTACTTTCTTTATAGGCCTATACACAGGAATGGTGGAAAGTGAGAAAGGTTAAGAAATCCTCTGGATGTTCTTATCAATTATTTGGAGAATTTTCTGTGCAAATATTGTCCATCAATTACTAAGTTATGTGGGGGAATTTTCCATTAAATTAAACTGCCTTTCAGGAAGCGATAACAATCCTCCTGTAACTGGACCCTTGTTTTTTGAGTTACTTTGGATTCATTTATTCTACTTCAAGTAATAGCTCTTGATGTTTATCTGTGGTTCTATCTTATGATGAAATCAAGGAACTTCTACTTGATTCTAGAGTGGGACTATGACAAGTTTGGCCAGTCAGACTCAGCATGACCACATGTATGGACTGAGGTATTTGAATGCAACACTGTCAGTCACTGAGTTATAGACTAGCTGAGATTCTGGAAAGAAGGACTTATTCATTCTTTGTGAATCCGAACAAAAGATGATACACCGCATCTGAACCATAGGATATATTTGAGTGTAGCTCTGGAATGAAGATGTATAGAGCTGACAGGATTCTGATGACTTATTTGGCAATCACTCCTAGACTCCTCAGGAAAATGAGTTATTAAATCCTCCCTCTGGCTTCAGCTTTCTTGTGTTTAGTTTTATTTCTCTGGGTACAAGTGAGAGAAAAACAACACCTTTTCATTTATCAGTGACTCTAGGGAAAATATACCAGTAAACCTAGTTTTCAGGATTCTAGTTATCCAAGCAAAAGACCCATTCTGGCACAAAAATATAATTATCATGGGATAATTATATCATGCACATTCATCAGGTATTATATCATGTACATTCATCAGAAAATAATATAAGGATCAGAGGGAGGAGAATGCTATAATAAGAACAAAGAGGGTCAAACAGGATCATGGTAGCCTGGCAGTATCTAATAAAAAAAAGTTTTTTTCCTTTAAAAAGTTGTATTGTACTTTTACTTTAATCAGTTAACTAAGAAGTTACAATACAAAGAGAAACAAACTTCACACTTTTATTAGTAAGGGGTTGCTGATGACATGCTTCCTAGTATCACATTACTTGCTTTACAAATATTTCAAGAAACATTTAACTGAAGCCCAGAATGAGAAAAACTGTGCTCCTCAATAGCAACTGACTTTCTCCCTTCATATCATAAATTGGTACCCATGAGATTTGTTTTTATAATGGGTACTAGCTCAGAGCCAAATTTGTGGTGGAACCTGTAAACCTAAAATCGCCTTTAAATGCAGTACTTGGCATTTTTGAAACACCCAGATCCACATATACATACCTCAACAGCATCTTACAAGGTGGTTTTAGAATAAAGCTGAATGTAAATCACTGGGGTAAGTAACCTACCTGGTGTGTTTTAGCTTAGTATCCACTGACTTCTATAAAATTTAGAATTCAGTTTCCTCTGGTAGCAATTAATTGGAGAGGGTAAGCTGCTAAAAGGCAGTTTAAAACAATTCTTAACCTATTCAGAGTTGTGCAACTCTGAAGTATTCTCAGTGTATGAAGTTCAGAGAGTAAAATACAAATGTAAAATGAGATCATTTTCTTGCTGCTAACCTTATATTCATGTAAATTAACTTAATATGTTAGGGTGAAAAACGTCTTCTTATCCCTCTTTTTCTCCATATGGTGGATATAATCAGACTTAGAACTGGGTCCAGAAACTTGACTGATATTAGAATAGCTGGTGCCAGAGAAACACGGAGAGAATGAGTAAACTCCGTTAATCTCTCTCACACGCTAGACAAAAGTTGGATGTAGACTAGATGTGCAATGTGGTCGTCAAAAAACTTACATGGCTGTATTTTTGATAATTCTTCCTTGGTCCATTTTCTGCCCAATGCCATGAACAACAAACACAATGTGGGTGGTCTGTGATGGCTTGTCTTCTAATGTGGCTTCTTCCACATAACCTCTGTGAAGTCTGGTCCCACTACTTGAGGCTGTAGAAAATTATGATTCTGAGTTTATTATTCATTTTGAAAAACAGTATTTTCACAATATGTTTACACAAAAAAAGCAGTAATGAGACTATAAAGAAAAAAATTTCACTGAATACAGACAGGAGGAAATGAAACTTGTAAGACAGTATATATTGCCTAGATGATATAATGTTAAGTAGATATTATACCAAAGTCAGAAATCAGTAAGAAAAGGAAAAGGAAGGCCAAACTGAATACATAAAGATTAAAAACTTCAATATTAAATACCAGTAAGCAGAGATAAAAGATGAATCATAAAGTGGAAGAATTATGCAATATATGATGTACAGTTAATTACCTAAGTATACAAACAGAGCTTACTAATCAAAAAGTAGGAAGATAACCATTCAAATAGCAAAACAATACAGCTTTGACAAGGTAATTCACAAGATAGGCACATTCACTAATAAATAAAGTAACATCAAAATTTTATCAGATTTAAAACTGTTTTTTAAATTTATTTTTGGGAATGCTCTATCTTTGCTATGTACCATTTTCTCTTCTTTCTTTTAGCATAACATATTCTTGAGCTTGTACTTGAGCTATGTCCCCAGCCCTTTTTGCTTCAGTCAGTTTTTGATAAGGGTCTTGTCTTTATGCCCATGCAGGACTAGACCACGATCCTGCTATTTATACTTCCTGCTTAGCTGAGATGACAGGTGCACACCACTGTACCTAGCTGTTTGTTGGCTGAGTTGGGGGGATCTCATGAACTTTTTGCTCCAGTTGGCCTTAAACTGCTATCCTCCCAGTCTCTGCCTTCTGAGTAGCTGGGATTATAGGTATGAGCTACTGTGCCTGGCTGTAAAACTTCTTTAAATTGTCTTTTGACTGCCTTCATTTCCTTACCTTCTACTCAAATTTCAACCCATGACAATCTGGCTTCTGCCCAAGTACTTCAAGTCACCAATGACCTCATGTCACTAAATCTAATGGAAAATTTTCAATCTTCATATTCTTTGACAGTATATATCATTGTCACATTTTATTTTCACTGCCTTGGATTTAACTGCTTTTATAAGTATAAATGATATTTATTAATCCTGTCAGATCATTCTAGATACATAATCATTCATTACTGAATGAATATATGTCACTTCAATCACCTTAATAAATGTTTCATTTGACAGGGAGTATTTGTCACTAAATTTGATACTTAAATAATTATCTATTTTAGACATAAGAAGAAAACAAATTCTCAAAATTTTGACAAACCAGAGCAATATTTAACAATTACCTTTAGAAAATCCCAGTTTTTGGGTAACTGTCCTTGCAATTTTAGATGTTGTTGCATCACTATAAAGATATACTTCATCCATACTGTGCCAGTCCACATGATTTCGACTTAATTTAAAACTATGAATAGCTGTTGCAAAAAAGAAAAAATTAACTTGAAGGTCTCTAAGACAAACTTAGTGGGAAAATTTATAATACTCAGATCTTCAAATGAATATTCTCTAATAACTCAGACATGTACTTCCGTTCAATAGAAAAACTAATTAAAAATTTTATGTCAAGTAAGTAAAGGATAAGAACTTACATATGAGTAACAATATTACAAGGAATTACAATTTGTTAAAACACAGAGTAACTGGTTTAACTGTATAATTTTAACCTCTAACATGTAGTTAATATGTTTTGGTTATTAAAGAGTTGTGTTCCCAGGTGATACGACTCTTCAGAAGGTCTAAAGAATATATACGGACTTGAAAGTCCTCAATAGCTTTCACATGGAAAGTCCTATTTATTTTGCTGATTTTTACAAAAAATAACAAAAGACCTGTAAATATTTTACTTAGTGCAAGACAAAACCATGACTAGAGAGAGAGAATAATCAATTAAAATAAAAGGTATTTTTGGAATTGATATGAAAGTCAATTATCATCGGCCAGCAGAAATCCAAAATTGAAAGATGTTTTAATAAGAAATTAATGCTTTTCTACCATGATATTCAAAAGTCAGTATGGTTATTACATTATTACATATGGAATTATGCTTGGTGAACATGAGGCCTTTAAAAAAATTTCAAAACTTCAGGAAGTCATATGTGTGTGATGTAGGGACTGTGGGTTTTTTTTTTTCAGTAATGGGGTTTAAACTCAGGGCTTGCACTTGCGAGGCAGGTGCTCTACTGCTTGAACCATGGCTCCAGCAGGGACTGTATCTTGATCGTTTTTGTATCCCTAGTACCAAATACAGTGTCCTAACAAAGTGCTGGGCACATATCACAAATTCAGTAGCATTTGTGGGAGCAATGAATCAAGAAACTTGATATAACATATTATAACATATTCACCAATTCATAATTTGATATGTGGAAGGCCTTATTTTGCTCTGTATCTCTGGTATATAGGTAAGAAATTTTACATTCTCATCTTCAGAAAAATAGGTACTTTCCAATCCCTATGCTTGATTTATCTTTTAAAAAACCCATTTCAGGTAAAATATTGTTCCCCATTTTATACCTAAAGAGAGGTATAAAGAGATTAAGTGACTTTCCACAAAGCTAGTTTTTGGTAGAGTCTAATGCTTCTATTTGAAGATGGGTTGAAAAATAACCTCAAGTTCAAGATACAGCCCTGTATAAAGAGAGAAGGCCTAGATCATATAAGATCATAAAACGTTTAAAAGAAAAATCTATTTCCTACTAGAATATGCAATATAGTACAAGAAAATGTACTTTTTGTTTATGTTACAAATGAAATTTCAAAAATTCATGAAAAGCCAACTCATATTTTCCTCACCTGCCAGGGCACATTATTGACAATGAACACAAGACTAAGATTCAGTTACCACAATAAACACTGTCTTCAGTCCCAAAGAAAACAATGTACAAAGTCAGTTTCTAAAATAAAAAATGTTTTAAATTTAAAAAGTTTGTAAGGGTTTAACAATGGTTTCTAAACCATTTGTTAAAATAGTTTTGGGTAACATATTCTTACAAGAGTGTAACTACAAGATTGAGATATTTAGAGAAGTGTTAAGTCAGTAAAATTAAGTTCTTCCTTAAATCATCTACATCTTAAAGTAAAACATCTTAATATTGACAAACATTTCATTATCAGACCATACACATAATTTACATATGTTTACATATACGTGTAGCACAATGGACACATTAGCTTCAACACCACTGAACGCTAAAGCTGGGACTCTAACTACACAGAGAAATAGAACTACAATTACTGTACCTTGGGAACGCTTTCGTTTAAGACCTGCCGCGTCTGTACTCTCCTGATATCCTCTCCATTTGAACAAAGAAGGGAGGGAGAAGGGAGGGAGGTGGTGGACAACTAAGAAAGCAAAAACACTGAGCTTCAAAGTACATTTAAATGAGGTTGGCCGTTTTGCCTTTTTGTTCTAGCATTACATTTAAAAATGAGGTGTATTTGACAAACATTATTCCAAATGCTTTATTTATATAATTTCTAGTTAAAAAATCAGTGAAGAACATTGGTTTAATGTTTATCAAATACATTCTCTACATATATATAATACATAATATAATATACATATTATATTATATATATATATATATATATATAAAGGCAAATGTGATCTAATTTATCAGTTATAAACAATTATGTGATTATCATTAAATATTCCTGCATGGCTAGAATAAAAATAAAACAGCAGTTCTGAATGCTCAGGAGATTTATTGACTCCTTCTTTATAATACTAAGGTTATTTACTCTCACCAAACTTGTGACCTGGACATAGTCAACAGCTGATGTACAAATAAGAATGTAACAAATAACATTTTAAACGCCAAATGCAGCTTGCCTAAGAAGACACCACAGTACACATTCCACTAGATGCTTTCCGTTACTGAAGAATAATGGGCTTCTCTTGGGAACAAAGTTATCTTTTCACAACTCTCTTCGAGTTGTTAAAAGACTTAAAAATGAAAAAAAAAATGTAAACATATCAAATTGGGAAGCTGTACTTTTAACTATCCCTGTAAGAAAGATTAGTGACAAGATAATGAAAAGAATGACATTAGTAAAAATGTACACTGTGACATCTTGTAAGCATAAAACAGACAACAAAAAGAAAAGCCAGGTGCATGCTTGACATTCGGCAAATCAGTACATAACCTTAAAGTCAATAAGTTTCCTGTCAAATTTTGTTATATGTCAACAAATCTCTTTATATTTTAATTATGCAATTATTTAAGACCACCTGAAATTGAAACTTACAAGTTTACTAGTTCAGTTAATTATAGAACTTTTATGGCTTAGTTAATATACATTTATTTGATTTTTCATCCTCTTTCCCTTCTATATTAATTTGACATTCAAAGGTTAAATAGTGCTCAAATACAAATACGTTTAATTCCTATTGTATAGCATTAGAAGCATAACAAATCTGTTGTATATACAGATGAAGTATATGCAAAGATTTGTGCAATAAAGGTATTCTGGAATGCTTACAAAGCATTAATAACTATAGCTATATCCTTAATAACTACACCTATATGTAATCAGATGGCTATAAGAACTACAGACTAGGACTAAAAACGGGGTTGTTATAGCGGGATTCTAAAGATGTCAATGTCACAGAAGTAGAAAATAACAAATGAAGCAATGTCTTCATTGAAATGTTTCTTCTTTCATGTGCCTTCTGGTCAGTTATTCAGGAGTAGATGTACACTTAGACCAGGAAACAGTCAAAAAATTTATCAGGATAAAACTGCTAACATAGGAAAGTGGGTCAAATTGATATAAACTGGGTAATTTACTACAAAGAAGAATAGAGTTTGTAAACCTAGTAATGAAACTAATATGAACCAAATTCCATATTTACTAAAAGAGAATAAGAAACATATGGAGCATTTGACAACATTTTACAATTATGCAAACACTCTCAGAAAGTGATCAAGACATAAAAATAAAAATGAAGGCTTACTTATTTTCAACCCAATGTACAGCATTATGGTACTACCCTAAGTACACCAGAGGAAAAAAAGGCTTCCTATCATCCAATCAGGGGTATAACTGTTAAAGGAACTCCAAATGCTAGAAAGCACTACTTAATTAGTTGTTGTTGGGTTTTTGGGTTTTTTTTTTTTGCTAAAAATAAGGTTTATTTAGTAATTCTTACACAATATCAGAAAAACATGCATAAATCCAAAATACAATTGAAAATGCTAATTAAATGGTCACTTAGTTAAAATAATTTGTACACTAAAGACATAACAGCAATGAAAAAGATTTCCTCACTAATTTATCTCTTCAAGAAGTTTTTGCATCATATAATTCTGAAAGCAAAAAGAATACTCAAAGGAGGGTTGGTTGATGGCATGCTAATTCCTAGAATAGAAAAATTCAACAACTTCTCCCTTTATATTCCTTTCCTTTCCCCTTCCCCTTTCCTGAGGATTAAACCCAGGGCCTTGCACATGTAACTCTTTTTCTTTCATGGAACTGGGGTTTGAACTCAGGAACTCATGCTTGCTAGGCAGGTGCTCTACCACATGAGCCACTTCACCAGCCCTACTAGTGTGACTCTTGAAGACAGCATATAATCAGGCCTTGCATTCTTACCAAATTTGTCAATCTCTGCCTTTTAATCAGACTATTATTCACCAATATTTATTGTAGTTATTGAAATGGGTGAATGTAGATCTACTATTTTTCTATTTATTTTTCTCTTTGTCTCAGCTGTTTCTCTCCTTCTTTCCTGGTTACTTTTTGGGTTAACTGAAGATTTTTAATATTTCATTTTGATTTCTCTACTGGCCTTTTTAGTATAAAATTAAATAAGTAGAAATGTTTAATTCATTCCATTCTATTTGTGGAAACAGCTACCTTAGTCAAACAAACTAAGATCAGAGAAAAGGGGGGATTATTATATTTAGTGTCCCTGGAGTCAAGAATTCTGCTTGGTGTCTTTAAACTTCCCTAGAGCACTTAATAAGAGTCCTTGAATACAGGATTTTCCAGAAGACCTTATTTTAATAACTCTACTGTACTGTGGTCACTGATTTTCTTTATACCAAGTATCTTTGCAGAATATTTAGTATTCATTATCTACTATGTTATCTTATACTCTTTTGTAAATACTCTCATCTGTTGCCTTTTCTTCTCTAATGGGATGAAGAATCTTTGAGGGTAGAAACCTTGCCTGCCCCCTTCCCAAAGTGCCTAGCACAATACTATTCACATATTGAAGCACTCAAAATCTCTTGATAATGTGAAGAGTTAAGACTTTATTATCTATTACACTAGTACATTTAGGTGGAAAAGGTATTTTCCTCCCACAAACTAATGAAATATAAAAGGTGAGAGCTAGCACAAGAGTAATGATCATATTTTTTATCTTCGTAAATATTGTAAGCTTGAGGTATTTTTCCATCAATGGTGGCTTTTTGGATGGTAAATGTTCTTTCCTTAAATCCAGCTGTGACTTTCCAATGAATTACAAAATTTCCCACAATCTTCAAAGTCAGGTATAACATCTTAACATATGAATGTAAGCTTAATAATGAATAACAAATAAAATGACTGAAAATTGTAATAATTACTGAATTTGTAATATTTATAATAAAGAAGCATGCTAAATCTTTACTTATGTGCTACAGTACATTTTAAAAAGTCAACTTTTTCTTCTAATGACTTCAATGAATCATTTTTGACAGATTACAATGCAAAAGTGTTTTAACAGTTTAACCATATTCTGTTACTCCTAGTTAGAATTTTACCACTCAATGTATATCCTCTTAAAGACAAATAATATCCTAGATTGATAGCTGTAATTGACACACACACACACACACTTAAAAATCTATTAAAATGAACGGTGTTTTTAGGCCAAATGTATTTAAATATGGCACTTTGAGGAAAACTGAAGTATTCCTGCTACATTTAAATCTAGGCAAGAAGCAGAGGTAAAAAGGTTACACAAAAGTTTAATTTGTATTGTAAACAAGATTCCAAATAGGTAAGATCTAGAGATGAAACATAGCTGATGACTAACCTGCACAGGATGAGTTAGCAAATGGAAAAAAGAAATGTTCTGAATGTAATATGAGAAAGGGAAAAAATTACTTCAATTTTATATACCCATCTTTCTCTTCCCAATTCTTGGATTTCTTTCATGCATTAGTAATAAGGAATTTGGGCAGCTAAACTGGGTTTGATAAGGTAAGTTGCCATTTTTGAGGTAAAAGACTTAAGGTAAGGAGAAAAAAAAAGAGTCCAAAACTCAGGCTTCTCCAATGGCAATGAAACTATTTTATGATCTTTCATGCAAATACCATGCAATAGGTTTGAAATTATTCAGGTAGTAGTTATGAAGGTTACAAAATATTTTAATCAATAATATAAAAATCACAGATATATAAAATTTGCTATTTTTGCTGTAACAAGAGCAAAGTATTATTTCCCTAACAATCTGCAGGAATATAGCTATAGCTCTTATATTGAACTGCTTTGTGTATATTGATATGTAAAACCATCAGCTTGAATGTTATGGTGAAATAAGGACATATTTGCTTCAACAAATTTGGAAAATGAGATGATATATTTAAAATTCCTAGAGTATAGTACTGGCACATAATAGACAACTATTATTATATAAATTTTAACTGCCAATTATTCAGAAGTCACAATTATCTTCAGTTACACAGACTTTTAACCAAGTAGATACAAAGGATATTTTAATTTGTTATAAGCTAAACTGTAGTTTCCTTTCTATAACCAATGAATACATGCATTGAGAGAGAGAAAAGAGAATATTTACTAAGAGTAGATGAGGGAAAAAATGGGAGGTACAAATAATATTAATAAATCTCTGGTCAGCATAAAGCTTATTGTTTTGTCACTGTTTCATAAACAATTACTTCCAAACATGTAATTTGTTTTTTCAAGCTGCATTATGTGAATTACATGATGAATACTGAGTTTTTCTGCTTTAGAGATTTTTATGAGGGGAAGGAAAAAAACCTACTCAATTTGTATTTTAATTCACAAGCTTAGGTAGGGTTTGCCAAGAAACCTCCCAAATAAAGGCCAGCATGGATGAAGAAATGCTTTTAGATTAAAAAAAACTTGAAATATCTATACGTTCTAATCTATCTATACATTTATACTCACCAGAATAGTTGATCCCACTGCCTGCAGTAAATGGAACAATAGAAGTATTTTTAACTTTACCATATATTTTGAAGTTTACAAGATTTAAGACACATAATAAAATCATGGCAATCTTAGCTATTACATGTCTTTAACTATTGCAAACACATCCAAATGCTGAATAAGGAAATGTAAGGAGCAGGCAATTATGGTCTTTTAAATTCAGAAACAAACATTAAAATATTAACAAAACTGCTCTTTTGATATAATGTTAAGAAATTTTCTGGTAAGTTCAATTTTCTTTGATAACAAAAAAACTTCCAGAAAAGACTAATTCATGAAATACAATATAATAATTTGTACATTAATGGTAAATTGCATTAGTGTCATGCAATGGAGCATCATATTAATAAATAAAATAAAAATTTCAAGTTCAGAAATTCATAGTAACTTTAAATTCTAGAATAAAATCATATATTAAAAAAAAATCAAATTTAGAGATAGGTGTGTAGTTCAGTAGTAGGTCTCTTGCCTAGCAAGCATGAGGCCCTGGGTGTGATCCCCAGTACCTCAAAAAATAAACCAGACTTTATAAACTCTAATCCTCCCAGGTTACTACTATCAGACTTATGAACACTCCAAACTTTATCAGTAATTTACTTGGCTTACAGAATATATTAAATGCACCTTACCATCTTTTCCATCTATGGATTTTGACACTTCAATATCAAAATTTTCCTGCATCTGCTGACCCCTAAAACAACTGAGGTGCTCTTGCTCAATTAAATTACTTTCTTCTTCTTCTAGAGGCTGCCAGGTCCCATCGATAAACCACTGTCCACGCATCACTGGTATTTTATCTGCCTCTGAAAAGAGAAATCACAAAATTATACATTTTGGAACTCAGCCTCCCCAAAACACCCTCTTATGACTTGATACAGTCATGTAGAGTTTTAAAATCCAGATTTCAAGCCAGGGTATATGTTTTCTTTATAGCATACAATTTTTACTTATTTGAGCTAGGAATGGTGGCTCACCTCTATAATTCCAGTTACTCAGAAGGTGGGGATCAGGATGCCTGAGGTCAGACTGGGCAAAGAGTTAGTTGAGACCCCCATCTCAATAAAAAAGTTGGATGTGGTGGTGCATGCCTGTCATTCCAGCTATGCAGGAGGTGTAAAGTAGAAGGAATGCAGTCCAGGCCAATCTGGGCAAAGAATGCAAGATCTAACCTGAAGGGAAACTAAAGCAAAAAGGCTAGAAGTACAGCTCAAGTAGTACAGTACCTGCCATGCAAGTACAAGCTCCTGAGTTTAAAAAAAAAAAGAAGCACCACCAAACAAACAAAACAAAAAACACACCCAAACTGAGAAAGTTAAGCGGTTAAGACAAGTTTCATGCAAGGCTTTGTTGACAGTTCCAAAGTCTTAGAAAATATTAAAATCATATCCCGAGGTAGTATGTGGAAATCTTGTATGTGGTAGTAGTGTGCTGCACTTTTTGGGGCTGTCTTGGAGTTTGGGCTGTAAGTTAGTATACAGAAATAAATGAAAAAAAAATAGTAAGTTCCTCATCTATTTTAGAAAATAGTTGAGAAAAAATTTCTTGAATAACTTAACATTTCTCTGATTAAACACAGTTCCTAGAAGTCTATGATATCCTTATGTTTTTTAAAAAATAAAAATGAATCAAAACAAAAGCCTTAAAAGAGCAAAATGAAACAAAAGAACCCAACTATGTAGGGAGTTGGTGACTTAACCACATAAAGAGAAATTATTTCTAATGCATTTAAAACACAGTGTTTTGTACATATATATCAGCAAATACACTATGAACAAAAATAAGAGCAAACATATGTTAAACTTTCAGCACTGACCACACTGTCAGTAGGTGAAGATGAACGTATTAATTCTGTTAATATCATCAGGAATCTAGAATTTTAGCACAAAAAAAATAGAAATATTAAGAAGCTGGGTGCCCTGTTATCCCAGCACTTCCTGAGGCAGGAAGATTGTCAGTTTGAGACCAGACTGGACTACATAGAGACCCTGTTTCAAAAAAACCCCAAAGAGATACAACCATAAACATCAAAGAAACAAAACCCCTGTAACCATAAATTTCAGCTACACATGTCAATATGAACAAATTATGTATTTTTTCTTTAAAAAATGTTCAAGCTAAAAAGGGCCTAATATCAAAGACCAACTCAGCATAAATGAACACTGAGTAATCCTATAGAGAACCAGGGTTCCTTGAAGAAAAGGTTAATTCTAGTTGCGGGACAGAAAATGTACTAGATGATCTTGAAACATCTCATCCAACTAGACTTGGGCCACGATGTATTAAAGGTTTCCTACTATGTGTTTCTACTGCATCTTGAATTGTCCTATATCTAGTATAACAATTCTGGATAAACCACTGTCCATGCATCACGGGTATTTCAGGTGGATAGCCTCTGAAAAGAGAAATTACAAAATTATACATTTTGGAACTCAGCCTCCCCAAAACATACTTTTATGACTTGACACAGTCATTTAAAGAGCACCCCAAATCTCCTTTTCTGCTTACTTAACCTTTTACTATTTGATCTATCCACTTTAAATGGTATCCTATGACTCCCTCTTATAACTTGTACAAGACAATTTTTATTTTCCCTTTGTCAGAACATAGAACAATCACATCCATGTTCTCACCACTGTTTATTCTTGGATACAGTAAAGTACATTACATTTCCTAAGTTCATATATGTTTAGAATGCTTAGCTGATACGTGAAGGACCGGCTGGCTAACTTGTACTGAGTTTCAAAGCTGCTCTACTCTACCATAGCCTTCCTTTGAATATTTCTTCTTCAGAACTTGACGTAAGCCTAATTTTCCTTTATTAGTAATGTGATCATTTCTTTTTCTTTTTCCCCTTAGAAGACCCAGATAGAAAGTTTTATTAGGTTATGACTCAGAGATATCCTGGCTCTCTCTCTCCAAGGTAGACCTTTGAATATATAGATTCCAGTTTTCCTATTATTTTTCAAGTGTTTTCGAATTATGTCTTAATTAGTTCTTGTTTATTTATTTTTGCAGTACTGGGGATTGAAGCCAGAGCTTCGAGCATGCTAGGCGAGCCCAATACTACTTAAGCCATGCTCCCAACCCTTGTTTGTTTGTTTATTTATGGCGGTATTGGAGTTTGAACTCAGGGCGTGGCCAGGCAGGCACTCTACTATTTGAGTCATGCCCCACATTTGCTTTTAAATTGTCTTTTAGATAAGAGTTCACACTAACTTTGCCCTAACTGGCTTTTCAGCCCTTTTCCCATGAAACAGGTTTTTTTAGTTGTGTTTAATCACAAATAATCATGGAACACATTAGCTTCCTGGAAAAAGCAAAACAGAACACAAACTTGTTCCTCCACCTGCATTCCCCATCATAGTGAATGGAAGGCCAACAGTAGTTGGTTACCCAAGGTGGAAACCTTAGAATCATCATCCAAGGTGCCACCTTAGCATTCCTTACAACTATAATCGGATACTAAGTATTATTTATTGTATCTCCTAAATCACTCAAATTCATTCCTTGCTCATAGTCATTATCCAAGTTCACATAACATTTCTTGATTGCTTACTTACAGAAGCCTCTTATCTAAACTAAGTATCACTAATTTCAATTCTACAATACTTTCACCACCTCTTACCAATGGCTTCTCACTAGTACATGTGTGCACTTACACATTCACAGATTCCCCTAACTTACTCTCTTCTCTTTGAAAAACCAATCCATCTTTACAGAGTTGCCAGAGAACCTTTCTAAAATAACAAATTATGGTATTCAGATACTCAAATTCTTTTGTAGCTGTGCACTGTTTTCCAGATAAACTCCGAGCTTAGAATGGCTTGTAAGTTCCTCATCATCTCTCACTTTACTACCTCTTCATATACCTAGTGTTGCTTTAGTATGCGTTCATCTAACATCTGAGCATTCCCATGAAGCAGGCACTAGGGCTCTGGGATACATAAGACACTGTGAATAGCTTCTGTGCTTTCCATGTCAACAGGACAGTGCTGTATGCCACATATGTTGTTTCTTTGATCAGATTTGCTCTTACCCACTTCCTTCTGTTCTTACCTCCTCAAGAAACCTTTCCTTCTCTATGACTCCACTGGACTAGTTCTATGCATTAGAATTAGTGCAGAGTTTAGTATTCTTCAATTTTTTGGGATCCTTAGAGATAAAGGTACTATATCCATGTGTATCCCAAGAACATAAAAGATAAAAGGAGCTCTAGTAAAATATGATTTCAATAAACATGCATTACTCCAATGGCTGGTAAGTTTGGTAGCCTGCATGCTTTCACCAGTGCTCTAAACTGGGTCTTCCTCAGTTTGAGTGGACTTGTCAAACTGTTTAGTTGGTGTATGCTGCAGTGTTCTCTCAACCATTAACAGCTTATTTTCTGATAGTTATCCTTTGATTCAGAAGAAAAGAGTTTGGCTATTTTCTAAGGATAAAGTAGCAGGAATGTGAGACTGAACTATTCATGAAGGATGACCTGCATATAGAGAAGCACACAAACCTTAAGCACACAGCTCAAGGTTTTTTGTAAGCCTAACATCCAGACCAAGAAAGCACTCCAGGAATTCCCCACCCACCACCTTGCCTCTCAAGTACAACTTCCCTCCTCACTAAGACGGCTGTAAAGATGATAGAACTATACTAACAAAGCATTGCTTTTTAGTTTATAGCAATACTCACTGAAGGTCAATTTAAAATTACCATAAAGACCATTATTTACCATTGCTACCTGCCTACTAAAAATAACTAGGTCAGTTATCATAATTATAATTCTTCCACAAATCATGATTAAAGACAGGCTTTTATGGTAAAAAAACAGTAACAAGAAACCCCCAACAAATCAACCAAACAAACAATAACATAGGTTCTTCTTGACTGGAGAATAATTCCAAGGTCCATTTTTAACTATGAAGATTTAATTTATGTAAATGTTTGAGTGGATCTTTTAAAAAATTTTTTGTAGTACTGGGGTTTGAATTCAGGGCCTTGTACTTGCTAGGCAGGCACTCTACCACTTGAGCTGTGCCTCCAGCCTTTTTTGCTTCAGATGATTTTTTAGACAGAATCTTGGCTTTTGCCCAGACTACCCAGGGACCACAATCCTCCCACCTATGCCTCCTGAGTAGCTGGATTACAGGTATTAATGAGCATGCCTGGCTTATTTGTTGAGATGGGGGTCCTGGTAACTTTTATTTTTGCCCGGGCTGGCCTTGACCTTGGATCCTTCTGATCTTTGACTCCCAAGTAGCTAGGATTATAGATGTGATTTGCCTTACCCAGTCAGAATAAATCTCATGTGTGGGCGGAGAAATTTTACAATGAAGACATTTATGTATAAACAGCTACATTTACTCTGGGAGTCAGAAGGAACCACTATAATATTTCTAAAGGTCTGTTTCTGAGAACTATTTATATCCCTATTATACTTTGTAATGTATGTATAAAGAGGATATCTTAAGGACCCTCTTCCACTAGCTTAGCCATGAGGTACTTAACTCTTCTCTTAGTAAACAGAATATGCTAAATACAATTTTATGCTTTCTAATCAACACTTTAACTCATTATGAAAGGGAGCATTTGGAAGCTACAGACACTGCAGTGGAGCACAGAGTTGAGTAGGATTCAACCACTGATGTATTGAATGCTGAGTAAGTCGCCACCATCAACTTTGTTTACTGGTAATCTACATCACTCTGACATTAGTACAGGAAGTTACACAGATTAGTTTAGCCTGAATGGAGCTATGAAAATTAATTACTATATTAAGGTCTCTGAAAACAGCTCTTTTCTGGCAGCATTG